AAAAAAAAAAAAAAAAAAAAAAAAAAAAAAACGCCGATCACGGCTCACATATATGATCCCAGCACTTTGGGAGGCGTACGTGGGAGAATCACTTGAGGCCAGGAGTTCAACACCAGCCTGGGCAACAAAGCAAGACCCCAACCTCTACCAGAAAAAAAAAAAAGCCAGGCATAGTGGTGTATGCCCGTAGTCCCAGCTACTTAGGAGGCTGAGGCAGGAGGATTACTTGAGCCCATGAGTTTGACGCTGCTGTGATGGTGCCGCTACACTCCAGTCTAGACTACAGAGCCAGACCCCAACTCTTAAAAAAAAACAAAAAGTCACCACTGCAGGGAGGTCTTCCCTGATTACTGTCAATGAGGAGATGTCCCTTGACCTCACTGTTGTGTTCTTGACTGCTCCCGTTCCTTCCCCAATTACAGTTATCTTTTAATGACTTCCTGTGTCTCTCTTGGCCCAGACTGCCAGCTTCCAAAGGGCAGGGATTTTCGTCTGTTTTGGTCACCCCTGCGTCTGTGTTCCCCACACCCAGCAGAGGGCCTGGTGCATGCTAGGCAATCTTTGTGTAGCTGAGTACTGGAGGCTATCTCAGAATTCCACAAGCTCTGAGCGACTTATACCCATTTTACAGTTGGGGCTGTTGAGCCTCTGCGAGATGTGACCTTCCAAAGGTCATAGAGACAGTGAAGTTCTTCGGGTTTTTTAATGTTTAATTTTTAGAGACAGGGTGTTACTTTGTTACCCAGGGTGGAGTGCAGTGGTGCGAACATAGCCCACCCCAGCCTCAAACTCCTGGGCTCAAGTGACTGCCTCACTTCAGTCCACCACAGACAGCTACTTTTTTTTTTTTTTTTTTTTTTTGAGACTCCAGCCCAGGCTGGAGGGCAGTGGTGTGATCTCGGCTCACGGCAGCCTCCGCCTCATGGGTCCCGATTCAAGCAATTCTCCTGCCTCAGCCTCCCAAGTAGCTGGGATTACAGGCACCAGGCACCCACCAGCATGCCCAGCTAATTTTTGTATTTTTAGTAGAGACGGGGTTTCACCATGTTGGCCAGGATAGTCTCAATCTCTTGATCTCGTGATCTGCCTGTCTCGGCTCCCAAAGTGCTGGGATTACAGGCGTGAGCCACCGCGCCCGGCTGCTACTTTTTAATTACTGATTGTAGAGGCGAGGTTTTGTTCTGTTCCCAGGCTGGTCTGGAACTCCTGGGCTCAAGGGATCCTCCCACCTCGGCCTCTCAAAGCGCTGGGACTACAGGCATGAGCCACTGCACCCAGCTTAGACAAATGGGTTGTTTGTTTGTTTTTAAGACCAAGTCTCGCTCTGTTGCCCAGGCTGGAGCGCAATGGTACGATCTCAGCTCACTGCAACCTCCACCTCCTGGGTTCAAGTGGTTCTCCTGCTGTTGAGCCTCCTGAGTAGCTGGGATTACAGGCGTGTGCCATCACGGCCGGCTAACTTTTGTATTTTGAGTAGAGACGGGGTTTCACCATGTTGACCAGGCTAGTCTGAAACTCCTGACCTCAGGTGATCCACCCATCTCAGCCTCCCAAACTACTGGGATTACGGGCGTGAGCCACCACGCCCAGCCGACAAGTGGGGTCTCAAACCCAGACTGTGGGCTCCCTCGGGGAGTGAGTCACACAGCCTCACACGCACACACTGAGAAAGGTCAACTCCATTTCTTCTGTCCTCAGCCCTGCAAGGAGCCTCAAGCCTGCGCGTGCAGCAGGGGCCCCAGCGGCTGCAGGTGAGGCAGGGCAGTCAGGCGACCCTGGACTGCCACGTGGACCAGGCGCCGGCCTGGGAACGGCTCCGTGTTGTGTGGACCAAGGATGGGAATGTCACGTGCCAGCCGTACATCACCAATGGTCACCTCAGCCAGGGGCTCTGTGGGCCCCAGGGACGACTCTCCTGGCAGGCACCCAGCCACCTCACCCTGCGGCTGGACCCTGTGAGCCCCAGCCACAGCGGAACCTACGTGTGCAAGGCGATCATAGAGATTCCTGACTTGGAGAAGGCTGAGGGCAATGGAACTTGGCTCTCGGTGGACCCAGGTACCGGAACCAGCGGAGAGAGGGTGGGGCGGTGCAGAGTATCCGAGAACCCTTTTTGTTTGAGACGGAGTCTCACTCTGTTGCCAGGCTGGAGTGCCGTGGCGCAGTCTCTGCTCACTGCAACCTCCGCCTCCTGGGTTCAAGTGATTCCCCTGCCTCAGCCTCCCGAGTAGCTGGGATTATAGGCACGCACCACCATGCCCAGCTAGTGTGTGTGTGTGTGAGAGAGAGAGAGAGAGAGAGAGAGAGAGAGAGAGTGTGTGTGTGTGTGTGTGTGTGTGTGTGTGTTTTGTGTTTTTTTAGTACAGAAGAGGTTTCACTGTGTTAGCCAAGAAGGTCTCGATCTCCTGACCTCGTGATCTGCCCGCCTGGGCCTCCCAAAGTGCTGGGATTACAGGCATGAGCCACTGCGCCCGGCCAGATTCTAGAATCTTAAGATCTAGTCTTGAAACTCAAACTCCTAGAATCAAAAAACTAAAATTTTCCTTTCAAACTTTTTTTTTTTTTTTTTTTGGAGACCGAGTCTTGCTCTGTCATCCAGGCCTTGGAGCGCAGTGGCACTGTCTCGGCTCACTGCAACCTCCACCTCCCAGGTTCAAGAGATTCTCCTGCCTCAGCCTCCTGAGTAGCTGGGATTACAGGTGCTCACCACCTTGCCTGGCTAACCTTGTTTTGTTTTTGAGATGGAGTCTCACTCTGTCACCCAGGCTGGAGTGCAGTGGCACAATCTCGGCTCACTGCAGCCTCTGCCTCCCAGGCTCAAGCAATTCTCCTGCCTCAGCCTCCTGAGTAGCTGGATTACAGGTGTCCACCACTACGCCCAGCTAATTTTTTGTATTTTAGTAGAGACTGTGTCACCATGTTGGTTAGGCTGGTCTGGAACTCCTGACCTCAGGTGATCCGCCTGCCTCAGCCTCCAAAAGTGCTGGGATTACAGGTGTGAGCCGCTGCACCCGGCCAAATCCTAGAACCTTAAGACTTTTGAATCTCAAGGTCCTAGAAACAAAAAAACTGAATTCTTCATCTCGAGGTTTTTTTTTTTTTTAGACGGAGTTTCGCTGTTGTCATCCAGGCTGGAATGCCCTGGCATGATCTCAGCTCACTGCAACCTCCGCCTCCTGGGTTCAAGCATTTCTCCTACCTCAGCCTCTCGAGTGGCTGGGATTACAGGTGTGGCCACCATGCCCAGCTAATTTTTCTGTACTTCTGGTAGAGATGGGGTTTTACCATGTTGGCCAGGCTGGCCTTGAACTCCTGACCTCAGGTGATCTGCCTCATTTGGCCTCCCAAAGTGCTGCCACTACAGGCGTGAGCCACCGTGCCCAGCCAGAATTTTGTAAAAATTTAGACTGTGTAAAAACAGAATCCTGGCTGGGCACAGTGGTGCACACCTGTAGTCCCAGCGCTTTGGGAGGCCAAGGCAGGCGGATCACGAGGTCAGGAGACTGAGAGCGTCCTGGCCCACGTGGTGAAACTCCATCTCTACTACAAACACAAAAATTAGCCTCTTGGGAGGCTGAGGCAGGAGAATCACCTGAACCTGGGAGACAGAGGTGGCAGTCAGCCAAGATTATGCCACTGCACTCCAGCCTGGCAGCAGAGTGAGACTCTGTCTCCAATACACAAACAAACAAACAGAATCCTAGAATTCTAGAATCCAGAATTGAAGGTCATCAGCCAGACACAGTAGCTGATGCTTGTAATCCCAGCACTTTGGGAGGCCAAGGTGGGTGGAACACTTGAGGTCAGGGGTTCGAGACCAGCCTCGCCAACATGATGAAACCCCCATCTCTATTAAAAACACAAGAATTAGCCAGGCGTGGTGGTGCACGCCTATAATCCCAGTTACTCGGGAAGCTGAGGCAGGAGAATCGCTTCAACCAGGAGGCAGAGGCTGCAGTGAGCCGAGATCACAGCACTGCACTCCAGCCTGGGCCACAGAGCAAGACTCCATTTCAAAAAGAAGTCATGGACTCTCAAAATTGGAAGAAACTCTCCAGATAGCTTTCCCTATCAGCAAAGGCAGCTGCCTCATTTTACAGATGAGACAGGTGTGGCCAGAGAGGGTCAAGACATGCCTAGCGCTACCCACTAGACAGGGGTGCAGCCTATGCACCCCGCTTTGCCATGTCACCCCCTTATAGACTCACCCTGGGCAGAATCGGGAAACCCAAGGGGATCCAGGCTTTGCCTCCTGCTCTGTGCAGGGTGCCTGTGGGCCCGGGGCATCTGCCCAGCCCCCTCTGGCAGAAGGGAGCTTCCAGCTCCCATGCCCTAGAGATGCCGGTTCCTCTCCAGCTGGTAGGACCAGCCTGCTGGCAGGACACGTGCTCTGCCTCAAGGGAGGGGCATGTTATGGCTGCGTTACCCATCTCCCCCCACCCCTCCAATGTCAAAGGGGCCAATTAGCAATTAGAGGAGGCGGGGTGGTGGAGGGGCCAGGCTGTGTGTTGGCAGCTGCAAGAGAGAGCCGGGAGTGGGCACTGGGCCAGCCCCACACAGCTGGCTTCCCCACCCACTCCAACCCTCAACAGCAGCTTGGCAGTCCCCAGGGATTGCCTGCCAACCTCAGAGGCTGCAAGAGGAGGGGGTTGGAGTGCTGGACCTTATCTTAATTGGGGCATTCACAGCCTTTGGCTGGGGTTCCTGTAGATTATACAAACCTGGATTCAAGACTGTGTTTCATTTACTTGCTGTGTGACCTTGAGCAAGTGACTTGACCTCTCTGTGCCAGTTCCCTCTGGTGTCAGAATACAGTGAATAGTGTTTCCTCATCAGGTTGGGTGACTTTAGAGGGGCGATAGCTAAAGTACTTGCTATAATCCCAGTGCAGTGGCTCACGCCTGATATCCCAGCACTTTGGGAGGCCGAGGCAGGAGGATTGCTTAAGGCCAGGAGTTTGAGACCAGCTTGGTCAACACAGCAAGACCCCATCTCTACAAAAAAATTCTCAAATTAGCCAGGCATGGTGGCACACACCCATAGTCCCTGCTGCTCCAGAGGCTGAGGTGGAGGATCGCCTGAGGCCAGGATTTGCTGACTGCAGTGAGTTATGATCGTGCCACTGCACTCCAGCCTGGGAGACACAGAGAGACCCTGTCTCTAGAAAAACACACAACAACAAAACAGTGCTTAGCACAGGGCCTGGGACATAGTAAGTGCTCAAGTAACCTAAGTGTGACCTCTGAGCTGAGGTGAGAAAGGGCTTTGTTCATAGCCGGGCGTGGTGGTGCACGCCTGCAGTCCCAGCTACTTGGGAGGCTGAGGCAGGAGAATCGCTTTAACCAGGGAAGCGGAGGCTGCGGTGAGCCCAGATT